TTGTGTACAAATAACATCAATGAATGACCAAGAACATTAAAAATGAGTAAGATGCAAACTATGAAGATTTTAGCCTAGGTGCACAAAAACCAAAGACTTAAAACACATTGAATACATTTGCAATGCATGTTCATCCATAAAAAAAAAAAAAAAAAAAAAACTTCATGTTGAGAAATTAAACACGTAAAAATTCAAATATCCATAAAAATATACAATCAATCTTAATATTGTTTAAACCTAAAAATCTTATCACAATATTCATCTAGATTAATCATAATAATAATTCATAATATGTCTAATGTTTGAAATGTAGCTTCTAAATGGACAAGGTGGACTAGAAAAGGCTAAAATAGTAGGTAAAAATAGTGAAATGATGTTGAACAATGCTGAAAAAATTAGCAGTAATGGCTTAGGTTGCATCGCATTATTTAACTAAATAATTTAGAATAAGAAATGGTGGTCTACTCTATAGGATGAATCATTTTCCCTTCTTTTCAATGATGGTGGTTGTGAAAGTCACCTCTCATTGATGAAAGAGATCTGTCCATTTAAAATTTAGCCCCTGATGTTGTTTTTCTAGACAACTTGGTTTCCAACATGTTGTTTGACTTATTGATATGTAGAGGTGGGATTTTCCATATTTGCAAGCTGAACCTCTTTCTTTTTTTTATAATAGTTATAGAGGTTTTGTTCACCTCTTACAAATGAGAGAGATTTAAAGTTAGGTTTGGTGCTAAATTTTTCCCTTTTTAGTGTTGTTTGGTTTTTATTCTCTCTCTTGGTTTCTCTTATATTTGATTTCTTTTCTTTTTAGTGTTGTTTGGTTTTTATTCCTTCTTTCTTGGTTTTTCTTGGATTTGTGATCACCATGAGTGGATATGCTGTAGGGGTTTTGTAAAAAAGCTTATGGTAGTTAAAATGGTGGTATGGGTGGCTGGAATCTAGCAAAGAAGGTCGAGAGGTGACTAAGTTCTTGGTTTTATTTTTGGTTTAGATGTGAGATAAGATGATCGTGTTTTTCTAGTATCTCTATCCTGGTATGAACTCATTTTCTCTCTCTTTTATTTTCACTACCATTCCTTTTTTTTCTTTAACGATGGCTAAAGTTTTGGTGAGTGAGGAGAAATCTTTCTTTTCTACTTTTTCTTTTTTTCTCTTTATATAGTGGCTAGGATTTCCTGCACATCTCTCCATGTTACATCTCTTTGCTATTCACTCTCATTTATAGGCCCTACTTAGAAATATCTCATATCCTTAAAATATTCCTATGGTATTTTTATTTGTTATCCTTTATTTTTCTTGTTTTGCACTTTAGATCACTAGTTCATTTTGCTTTCAAATTTGAGTTTTTTTTTTTTTTTTTTTGTAGTTTGGTTTTTTCAAAAAGAAAAGTTAATGTCAATTTGATAATAAAAGTAATCAAGATTTACAAAAGAAACACAAACACATCAAAATATTTTTTTCTTGTTTGATTTTTTTTTAGTATTTTAAGAAGACATCAATAAGAAGAAAATGATTAAAAATCACAAAATAGGTGTGAGAATGGTCAAATGCATTGAAATATATTTTTTCTAAGTTCTTTGGTTTTTTTGGATTTTTGAAAGATATTTTGGAATCACAGGTAAAAAAATTATTTTGACACACTTTATGATATGTATAATTCAATCAAAAGCGCAACAATGCTATGAAAAACTTTAGAGTGAAAAGCTTTAGACAAAAAGTATAAAGTTGAAGATGTTGGAGTGAAAAACATTTTAGACTTCAAGAAGGCTAATTCAACGGCCATTTTGAACCAAGTACAAGAATTTTAGCTCATCTTACATTATATTCATGTTGAAGTTATGTCTCTAAGTGAATCATTCCATATGACTTTAATTATTAAAAAAATCGCTACCATAATGGGAAGACTTTAAAAGCTACCTTTAGTTTAAGTTTCAAGGAAATGGGAGTTAAAGACCTAATTTTGAGATAAAGGATATAAGATCATAATAAGTTATCTAAAAGAAATGAAATAAGTGGTGAAAACCCATAAAATAAAAAATAAAAAAAACTTTGTACGAAAAGAAAGGGGATTACCAAGAAGTTCAATGGAAAATATTCCATCTATAATAAGATTGGACACCAAACCAAGAATTATATAAATAAGGGTTAGAAAAGAAATTCTAAGAAGAGGATCTCTCAAGCCATTGTCACCAAGGTTGATCAGATTCTTTATCATTGTTTTCAAAGTTAACTTGACTAATAATCATGAGCAATGATGAATTTATACTAGTATAACTATACATGTGTGCACCAAAAAAAGAATATTTTTTTACTTACAAATAAATGAATGGTGAGTCCTTGTATATGAAAAACTCAGCAACCTTTAATATACTAAGTGTTAGAAAGGTCATACTTATCATATTAAATATAATAGCGACCAAAAGCCCTCTTTCTTTAAAAAGTAGAATCTTCTTTTATGTTAAGGGAAAAGATTTTATATTAAAAAAGAGTCGTCACCTTATAATATTATCACTAAAAAAACCTTAATTAGCCTATGGAGTTTTAAGATAAATGACTAGTTATACTAAAGAAAAAATACTATCACATTAAAATATTTTACTTAAAATAAGTTGTATTGTTATTTGCCTTTTATTCCTAATAGTTTATGCTTAATCTATCAATAGTCTATCTATATGAGTGTGAATGAATTTACTATAATGAGTTAAATCCTAGGAGGACAAGTGGATTCAAGTTTATCCATTATAAAGTTCATGTCACTTTTTCCACTCCTAATTTTTTAGTGAATTAACATCTATGTATCCATTTATTCTTGATCATAACCTGTTACTATTAATATTCTATCAAGTCAAGTCAATGAATAGTTAGGTAGGTCTATGTTAGGCACATTAAAACCAACTTGGATCGAAGGATATGTTATCACTAAATATTTTGTTTATGCAATAAAGACCTAGAAATAACAATACATTCATGTTCATTTACCCTATAGTACCAAGGTTCACTTATAGTATTTGTTGAATGAATATTGTACGCCCTAATTCTATCCCAGCAATAACCTCTAATGAATTTATTTACTTTGAAGTATTTTATAGTGACATACAAGTTTTTTTTTATTTAATCTTGACATTGATTTTTTTAGGATTCATTTTCCATAAAGTGTGCTATTTAACAATCATTTTTTTATATTTTAGTTTTTGTTGTTTTATTGCCTCTCATCAATGATAGTTCATAGTGATGTTATAACTTGTGATGCACATCCATAAAAACTAAACAACTTATTATATTTTATTATTTTTATTGTTATCAATTGTTAACATGCATATTGAGAACTTAACAAAGAGGCTAATATTCCTAATTCTTTGGTGAATAATGGATTTAGACATTTTTAAAACTTATTTTATTATTTAAAATTAAAAGGAAGGGGTGATCCTTTTATTATCCAATGTAATGGCCCATGTTAAGTCTATTTACTTCAAATACCAAAAATGAATAATAAAACATTTTGGACATGATTTTTTTTCTTTTAATTAGAATAAAAAACATGGGTTTTGAAAGACTTAGAATGTTGGTCTATGGCCTTTTAATATGGACCGAATGAACACTATGAAAACATGCAACGTGATGAATATTTTTTTTTTTGTTTTTCTTCTATTTTTTCTTAGAAATAAAAACATGAAAATAAAATGTAATTATAAGACTTACATGCACACTAACTAAACACATACACACACTTTGTTTTGAGAGGTTTAGCCAAAATACATGGAATCTAAAATATATTTTTTTTAACATGATCATGAAGACAAGGATGACACTACAAACATAAAAACATGACCCCAAGTCATGTTATTCATTCATGTATAATCCAAGCAAGTAAAAACTCATGTCATGATTTTATTTTATTTTTCATTCATAACCAAGGAAGCATGCAACATGAAAATAAAAATAAAAATAAAAATAAAAAAACCTAACTATTATCATTATAAATCTAGGTTACAAGTGAGCCTAAAAACACAATCTTTGTTTTTCTTTTATGTATTTGTTTTTTTTAAAAAAACCAAAATAAATACATTTATTAGGATATATATATATATATATATATATATAGTAAAAGGCATGCAACACCAAAACCAAATACAAATACACCGTAAGCTGAACTTTAGATTTTTATTCATGTATTTTTTATATATTTAGCCATTTTATTTTATTTTATTTTTGCGTATTTTTTTCCTTATAAAATCACTCAATGTCTAGATTAAACTTAACTAAGCCTTAAAACATTATTTTGTTTATTAATGTTCACGTATTTTAAAATAAAAAAAATACATAAAGTATCATTTTGCACTCTTTTATCACGAATCCTAAAAAATTAAAAAGAGAAGTCGGGTTGTGATCTACTTGTTTTAACATTATAGGATAGTGTTGTGGAGGCTTCTAACCAATGATAGAGAGAATTATGGTGTTTTCCTTTTCTAGAATGAGGCTACTTATTTTTACTTGGTTAATGCCTCTTTTTCTCTAGTTGTTTCTTCTTTATTTTCCTCTCTTGCCTTTTTATATCATCTAGAACATTTTGGTTTCAAATGAAACAATTTGGTGACCTAAAAATCAACATTTTCCCTTTTTTATAATTTAGGTTTTTGATGTTTTGAAGTGATTTTCCCTCTCTTGTTTTCTTTCTTTTATTTCTCTCCTCATTAGCCAAACTCAAATTTCCCTTACACTCTATCTTTTTCTCAATACTACAATAATTTAAAATGTTTTCAACTTATAGTTTTATTTTTGTTTTTCTTTTGCTCTACATTAAAAATGTTCGAAATTCAATTTTTCCTCCACTCTAGAAACATAATAACAAAAATATAATTTAGTTGTAATTACTTTGTGAATAATAATAGAAAGTTAAGTTAAATTACGATTTTATTTTTTTGTCGTAGTCATGAATCATATATTAACTTTTAAAATTGTCTTGGTCATGAATCATATATTAACTTTTAAAATAATTATTATTGAACCATTTCTACTGCCAATAGAAGCACAATGCGCCAGTTTTTTTATTACAGAATGAAGACTGTTTTGGCATCTGCAAATCTTCTCTTTGCCTCCAGACCTAGTATTAGAAGTAAAACTGAACCGACTTCGGTTGTAACCTTCTAATTTAAAGAGGTGCTGGTCTCTATCATCGATATACATAAGGAATTATTTGACTTCCTCGTACACATCTTACAACAAATAAACAAGCTTTCGCTAGGAATCGGCGAAACTTGAGAATTAGAAAATCCATATACTTTTGCGTCAATCTCCACGCCAATGATCTGAAACAATGTGTGAAGAGGTTCGCAAAACTTCACATTTGGAGGCTAATTGCAGCTCACTGTAAACCAACAGACCGCAGATGCACAGTAAGTATGCATTCCGCCATATGAAGATGGATTGAGTTGATGAAATCCTTGCCACAACATTCGGGACTTCTTGCACAGTAGTCGTTTCCAATTTGCAACACCCTACTCTTCACACAGATGTGGGAGCATTAGATTGCATGCATGCCACTACTGCCAGCACATCATCTTAATCAGATGGCACCCGGTGCCAATTAGTCAACTTTAATTGGTCAAGTTGTCAATCATTCTTCATTCCATCTATCTCTTTTCACTCTAACTCTTTCACCATTGAAGTGGATATACTTCCATTTACATTGGTACCTTCCAAGAACCAATTGCCGCTTCTCTTCTTGGCCTAATTTCTTGAAGGCATGTGCCACTCTCCGAACAGTATCTTCATCTGGTCTTACACGCAACTCCTCCATGTCAGCGAACACCTGAGTTGTTTCTCGTAAAAAGAAATTCAAGCTTTAATACCATACCTATAACTTTCAAATTCAGAATTATTCAGATTTCACGTGTTCCAATCACATTATTGAAAGAAAAGATGGGAACGGTTTACCAGTACCTCTATTATCTCATCTTGCATGTTATGATGATCATACAGAGAAATCATCCTTGAAAATAAGCGCTTCGACATAGAGCGATTATGTGCATATATAATCATGTTCCATAATGATTTAGCCTCATCTGCCCTGTCATCCTTATCGAATGCCAGTAGAAGGGTGTCATATGTTCCCAATGTTGCTCCTTGACCTTTGCTCAACATCCACTTTGCCACCTGAGTACAAAATAGATTTACTACAGGCTAATAGAATTGTAAAATATTCACTCCAGCAACAATAGTTATTTACACAAACAAGCTAGAAATATCACAATAGACTGTACTCATTAACATCATGACAGAACATCCATCAGGAAAGAAAGTAAAGAAAGAAAGAACAAGAAAACACCATAGAAGACAAAGAAACCCACTAGCACTGAAAGTGCTTCACATTATTTGTTCAGTCAACTTCTCACAGTTTAGCTTACAGATCAATACGACAAAACAGTTCTGTGAGAAAGAATTCTTATTGCACATGGTTTAATCCTTCCAAGAGACTCCCTTAATTGAACTAATGTTCATCAACATATGAACTCAAAATAACTCATCAGAGATATCAGGTTAGGATTTGACTAGATGCAGAGCTTTTAAGTTCCACCATATGATGATGCCATATGGTGATGTTCAATTATAAATAATGCAATTAGATTGGTTCGTATATATTCAGGCATGAGTTTGACATCAAAACAAAATTTTGAACATGGCATACTTGAATTACACGCGTCCATTGCCTCCTCTGCCGCAATATTTTTAAAGCTTTCGCAGCTGCAATCAATGGAAACTCTGTCTCCCAGGCTGTCCATTTATCTAATGCTCCATACACAGCCTCTTTCTCGTTAGGAAGTTCAGAAACCTGCCATTTCAAACCAAATAAGAAAATTACATATCAGACAGAGAACATTGCACTTTTTATTATTAACTTTCATAAAGCACTTTTTATTACTAAGTTCTGAATATATGTTTAAGGTTGCCATAAACTTCAAAACAGTTCTCTGCTAAGCAAAATACTAGGCTTGAAGAAACTTACAATTCTAACAAGATTCAATGCCTTTCGCCCAGATCCAGCTGAATCTCTTTTCTGCCATAAGTGGTGCTCCTTCTTTCCTGATTTCTTTACAACCTTCCTGCATTACACCAGTATGTCTAAGCAAAACATTTGTGACAAGTAAACAAAGAGTAGGTGTTCTCTTGTCTAATGATTGAGGACAACTTTACACCAGTATGTCTAAGCAAAAAATTTGTGACAAGTAAAACAAAGAATATAGTATGTGTTCTCTTGTCTAATGATTGAGGACAACCAATTTAGTAAACCACTCAAAGTTGATTCTCAAAAATTACTGAGAGGAAAATCACCTATTCTCATCAGCTCTGGAATTCAGTTTTAGTTGTTTTTGAGAGCATTTGACACAAAGAGCACTTGTTACCTGTGCATAAAACAAAAAAGATTCAGTGAAAGATAGACTCTGTAAAATACCTGCAAAGAAATGCAATAACAAGAAAGGGGGATTGATTTTTCTTTCTTGCCTTTGGTTTGAGGCTAGTAAGCCTTGCTGTCCTTTGGAAGAATGAAATTTTGACACTTGGAAATAAAAATCCAGAGGAGAGAGCTATTTCATTCATCATAATCTACACCATAAATAACTTGTAAGAAGATTTCTCAAAGAAATAAAAGCACATAGGCCATATCTAATGAAAAAGCAACAAATGGTGACCTAGAAATGGTAACCTTGTCAATTGCAGAAGCAAGCATTAGTACTGTGAAGAAATTGGGGAAGAAGAAGATGCTTTTGAATCTGAGTTAGCATTGTCTTGCCTGATATGATGGGCACGCTTTATAGTTAATGAAACATTATAGCTGATGTATTTAGTTATTTTCTTGCATTGCAACATGATTGCCAATTGTAGGCATACACAAACCACATTTAGTTACTTTCCTTTCCTTGTTTTGTCATTATAGGGCAATCAAGCTTGACTTTGGTGATTCTCTGCTGGAATCGCTACTAATTGCAATTATTTCAATAGGGCCTATACCAAACCTAGACACCTGTAACAGGAGATCTGTACTGAGCCTGAATTGCAGTTTTCATAGTATGTCTTCTGGGGACTGTGTTAGCTTTTTGAGATGGGAAACGCTTTGCAGACTCAAGTGTTGGAAGAGAATGAGGAGACAGGCAAGTTGCAACTCATTGCCTCCTACATTCAAAAGCAATACTATCCTCGTATGACCTTCATTCAGAAAAGGAGAAACAGGTTCACATAAAGTCAGAACATCCACTGACCGAATCACTCCCTTTTTAACATTTACTGTGAGAATTGATGACTGACAACTAATATTGACATGATAACAGATGATATCATGGTTGTCAGCAATAAGCATAAAAAAAGTCGATATTAAGATTACAGGTTTGATATGCATTATGCTATCAACTTTTCATCCAAGAAAAGCAGTCACAAAATAAGGCCAGGTTAATATTGGCTTCAACATAATGCTTTCTACAAGTTTCTAGAAGTCAACGTATAACAACCCATCTTGGTATACATCCAACTAAGAAGTTTCAGTAGATGGGCAGTGTTCATAACATATGAATTGAACAATGTCAATTGTAAGAGTCGCTCACGGTGACCCAAAAATAAATTTCTTGGCATACTACACTTGATACCACTTCTGGCTCCCAAACATTACATGCAACAGCAAAAACCTCAACTGGTTTTCCATTTCTGGAGTGATTCAAAGCAAAAAATGACTAGTAGATGTCCTACAGAAGTTCAGCTTCAATAATATCTGAAATCCTTCAGTCCTGAACATACTCGGGTTCAACATCTAGGAGGTCTTTTTTGCTTTGAAACTCAGGAACACGAACCAAATCTTGCAGTAACCTAACAAAGTCCCTTCCAATCTTCATACACAAATCAAATTGCTGACTCAACAACTTGACACAAAACACAATCTCTAGTTTTTTTTTAAAGACTCCATCTTCTATATACAATGATCAGCTAACGACCAAGGATAAACATAGCCACTTCTGAAAGCCAGTGGCTCTTCTTTCAAATACAATGATCAGCTAACGACCAAAGATAAACATACAATGCACTTCTGAAAGCCAGTGGCTCTTCTTTCCCTAAACAATTCCATATCCTTAAAAAAACAGCGCTCAACTTGAAACACAACCACAAATTCCCATCACTAAAATCCCCGATAACAATTTTCCTTGACAAGCCATCAAAACCAACTCCTAAAACATCAATTATTTCTTTTACAGCACAAATCAACAGATTCATAGCCAAATCAACAAACTTTCCATACAAATCATTAACAATTTTGACAATAAAATTCACAAACAAGGAATAACCATCAGTAACAACAGTATGTAGATGCTTGATATGATCCTTGGCTAAACGGGGTTCAGTTAACTTAAAACCCTATAAAGAATGACAAGATTGAGCCTTCAGTGCTGATCTTGCGACGTTGGTATTATAATTAAAGGAAATGTGGGACTTAGTGTAGGTTCAAGCTCATCATAAGGCTTGCGTGAGAGAGTCGGAGCTCACTTTCATCCTCAAGGGCACAACTGATTTAAGCAGCTTTGAAGCCATGCAAAGAGTAAAAAAGATGAAACAACATATGAAAGGTGAAAGGCAAGATGGTATATACCTTGTCCTGCCTCAAATATCCCATAAACAGCATCCGAACAGAAAGCAAACAATAATCGTATAAATTATAGAAATAAGAATAATAATTTAGAAAACAACGACAACCCAATAACAAGAAAACCACAGCAATAAAGAAAAATGTTTCTTTTTATATGGAAATTTAGCATGAGAGAACTTACCCTCCCAACAATAACGCATAGCTCAAACAGCAATTCAGCAACTAGCCATCTATGACTATCCCTTCGCTCCTTCGATTATTTTTTGGATGTTTTTGTTAGCTCTATTGTTGTGGATTGGAGCTGGGCTTTGGAATAAAAGCACCTACAAGATTTTCTTGTTTCCTATGTGGCCTTTGGGTCTTTGTATTTGTTAAAGCTGATTTTTGCTTTGGGTATCTCTTTAGGCTTCATTCGAATGCCTTCACCAAGGCTTCAAGCCCCATTATCTTCTCTTCTCAAAAAACATGAGCCTGACTACTCTACGGCGTAAAGGGTATTAGCATTGCTAGCTTGTTGTTGCAGGGGAGGAAAAATAAAGTTGGGTGGCCACTTCCTGTGATACATTTTTTCTTTTCTTTTTTTTTCCTGTTATTTTTTTATTTTAAAAAAATATTATTTTCATGTATTTTTAAATAAAAATATTTTAAAAATAATTATTTTTACACTCTCAAATACCCTCTATATTAATATTTTATCTACATTAGCATCAATGATCCAAGTAATCAATCTATTCATCTACCAATCTAGTCAAAAATTTACTTAATTTGTCAAATTTGTTGAATTTCACACACACACACACACACACACACACACACACATATATATATATATATTCCATCTTGTATTTTTTATGTTATCCTTGCTTATTAGACTATTTTCTCATTTACATCTTTAATAATTACTAGATGACCAACATTTATGATCAAGTAACCAACCTTTAAATGAGAATAAAGTTCATGAAAACTTTATAAATAAGGCAGTTTAATAATAATAAACAATCCAATAACCGGTAGTATATTATAAGGCTAGTTCATTACAAAAATCATGAAACTAATCACAATTAATATTACTATGATTATAATAATCCTAATAAAAATAAGCATTCCAACAATAACTATTAGAAATCAATTTAAGATAGAAATTTTTAACATAATTACAATTAAGATCATCATAACTAATATGATTCTAATAATCAAATCATAAAAATATTAAAATAAAAACCTTAACTTTTAATGGTCATCTTAATTTATGGATCTTCACTAGGTGAATCCATAACTTGGATCACTTTTTCGTTGGTATAATTTGTTTGAAAATTAAAAAGTAAGGTTTGCAAAAATTAAATTAGGTAGTAGTGCTTAGTTTTATTAGAATAGTGTTAAAGAGTATTTGATTATAAAAGGTAAACTCTTTATTGCCAATTGAGTTGAGATGAAATAGAAGTTACATGTCAATTAGCTAAATATAAAAAACAAAATGTTGGTTTTTATATTCCATTTTATATACTAAAATGTCTTTTGATAAGATGTAAATATAAATTTTATGTGTTTGGTTTTCATATACTTTAAATAAGCATGATTACGAAGACTACAAATATCTCTATAGTTGTCAAACTATATTTTGATGAGATTATCAAATTGTATAGCCTTTTCAAACCATAGTTTTATATGAAGTTTATAATTTATAAGTTATTTCTGGAAAAACTTTTGGTATATGATTGATACTAAATTAAATTTTTTTAATGCATATTATTCCCTAACTAATAATTAAATACTGAGATAATCAATAAAAATTTAGACAATCTTGTAATATGAATATAAATAGTGCTTAATTATAATAGAAATTAAGATTTGATTTTTTTTAATTGAATTTCCAATCCCTAATTTCCCTCCTTTTTTTCCATCTCCTTTCTTTTTCTTTTTAAACTTTTTTTTCTATGATTCTTAATTTTATCAATCTTTAAATCTTGTTCCACATCATTTGTTTTTCCATTAAGCAAGTCATTTAGTACATATATGATATATCCCAAGTAAAATCATCTTTGTTTCTCATTTCATTTGTTTAAATTTGGTAAATTTACATACCATATACTCTCTAATAATACAAGTGTTGCATGTGTCTTCTAACTCCCAACAATTTGGGGATGTTCATTGAAAAAACACATAAGAGAACAATCTTTCCACTCCGTAAATTACCACTTTCACACCTTCACACCATAAAATTTATTTTAAAAATATTATTTTCATGTATTTTTAAATAAAAATATTTTAAAAATAATTATTATTACACTCTCAAATACCATCTATATTAATATTTTATCCATATTAGCAACAATGATCCAAGTAATCAATCATATTTATCTACCAATCTAGTCAAAAAATTACTTAACCTGTCAAATTTTTTGAATTTAACATATATATATATATATATAACCCCACTTTCATCTTCAAGGGCACAACTGATAAAAAGATGAAACAACATATGAAAGGTGAAAGGCAAGATGGTATATACCTTGTACTGCCTCAAATATCCCATAAACAGCATCCGAACAGAAAGCAAACAATAATCGTATAAATTATAGAAATAAGAATAATAATTTAGAAAACAACGACAACCCAATAACAAGAAAACCACAGCAATAAAGAAAAATGTTTCTTTTTATATGGAAATTTAGCATGAGAGAACTTACCCTCCCAACAATAACGCAGAGCTCAAACAGCAATTCAGCAACTAGCCATCTATGACTATCCCTTCGCTCCTTCGATTATTTTTTGGATGTTTTTGTTAGCTCTATTGTTGTGGATTGGAGCTGGGCTTTGGAATAAAAGCACCTACAAGATTTTCTTGTTTCCTATGTGGCCTTTGGGTCTTTGTATTTGTTAAAGCTGATTTTTGCTTTGGGTATCTCTTTAGGCTTCATTCGAATGCCTTCACCAAGGCTTCAAGCCCCATTATCTTCTCTTCTCAAAAAACATGAGCCTGACTACTCTACGGCGTAAAGGGTATTAGCATTGCTAGCTTGTTGTTGCGGGGTAGGAAAAATAAAATTGGGGGGCCACTTCCTGTGATACATTTTTTCTTTTCTTTTCTTTTCTTTTCTTTTTCCTGTTATTTTTCATTTTAAAAAAATATTATTTTATATATTTTTAAATAAAAATATTTTAAAAATAATTATTATCTGAAACGTCCTCTATATTAATATTTTATCTACATTAATAACAATTAATAACAATGATCCGAGTAATCAATTATATTCATCTACTAATCTAGTCAAAAATTTACTTAGCCTCTCAAATTTGTTGAATTTAACATATCTATATATATTTCATCTTTCATCTTGTATTTTTTTTCCTTGCTTATTAGATTATTTTATCATTTACATCTATGATAATTACTAGATGACCAACATTTATGACCAAGTGACTAATATTAGAATAAAGTTCATAAAAACTTTATAAATAAGGCAATTTAATAATAATGAACAATCTAATAACCGGTAGTACATTACAAAGCTAATTTATTACAAAAATCATAAAAATAATTATAATTAATATTACCATGACTATAATAACCCTAATAAAAATAAACGTTCCAACAATAACTATCAGAAATCAATTTAACATAGAAATCTCTAACATAATTACAATCAAGATCTTCATAACTAATATAACTAATATAACCTTAATGATCAAATTATAAAAATGTTAAAATAAAAACCCTAACTTTTAATGATCATCTTAATTTATAGATTTTCACTAGGTGAATCCATAACTTGGATCACTTTTTTATTAGTATAATTTATTTGAAAATTAAAAAGTGAGGTTTGCAAAAATTAAACTGATTAGTAGTGTTAGTTTTATTGGAATAGTGTTGAAGATTATTTGGTTATAAAAGATGAACTCTTTATTACCAATTAAGTTGGGACGAAATAGAAGTTACATGTCAATTAGCTAAATATAAAAAATAAAATGTTGGTTTTTATATTCTGTTTTATATACTAAATTGCCTTTTAATAAGATGTAAATATGAATTTTATGTTTTGGTTTTCATGTACTTTAAATAAACATGATTTTTATATTTATGGTTATTAAATATATATATATATATATATATATATATTATAGTAAATGACTTATTTTATCCCTTATACTAAGACTACAAATACCTTTATAGTTGTCAAACTATATTTTAATGAGATTATCAAATTGTATAACTTTTCCAAACTATAGTCTCATACGGAGTTTTATAATTTATAAGTTATTTCTGAAAAAACTTTTGGTATATGATTGGTACTAACTTGAAATTTTCTAATTTACATCATTTTTAAACTAATAATTAAACACTAAAATGATCAATAAAAATTTAGACAATCTTATAATATGAATATAAATAATATATGATCATAATAGAAATTAAGATTTGATTCCTTTTTTAATTGAATTTCCAATCCCTAATTTGCCTCTTTTTTTTCCATCTCCTTTCTTTTTCTTTTTAAACTTTTTTTTTCATGATTCTTAATTTTATTAATCTTTAAATCTTGTTCCACATCATTTATTTTTCCATTAAGCAAGTCATTTAGTATATATATGATATATCCCAAGTAAAATCATCTTTGTTTCTCATTTCATTTGTTTAAATTTGGTAAATTTACATACCATATACTCTCTAATAATACAAGTGTTGCATGTGTCTTCTAACTTCCAACAATTTGGGGATGTTCATTGAAAAAACAAATAAGAAAACAATCTCTCCACTCCGTAAATTACCGCCTTCACACCATGTTCCAAAAATGGAGAATCTCCAACCAGTTATCCGTCAAAGACATCCAATTAATGTTCATGTCTTGATTCATCACCATGTTTGATAGAAAAATAGTGCTAAGTTTCTTGCAAGGGAATATTTAATGTATTGTATTGGCCACCTTGAATACTACACAAAACCAATTTTTCAATTGAAGCTACATACATTTCTTAGAATTTCCTCAAATTCCTGGCTTCCATCACACCCAATGTTGAATCTCTGGCCATCAAATTATTATCGCATCTCTAAGCGAGGTGTTATTTCTATTGCTGGCCCATAGCAATTCATGATGACTTGTAAGGCCCTTCATTGAGACTCCCAATTGATTAATCTTCCACTCGGGATTTTTCATTAATCTTATAGTTTGCACATTGTGACTACATTACTACCACCCATTTAATTAATATAATCGCCTATGGTTTTGATTTAAAACTCAGATTGTTAAAAGAGTCGGCTGGTTTATCTTAGACCCCATTTGTTTTTATATTTCAAAAATGTTTTTTTAAAAAATTTATTTATTTACTTATTTTTTACTTTAAATTAACTTTTTTAGTGTTGTTATACCTTTTTAATTATTGATTTTTTAGTGTTTTTTAAATAAAAAATATTCTAACGATCAGCTGCACTCATGTGAATAATTGTTGGGACGGCATGATGATTGGTGAGCTCTTTTCTTCTTCTTCTTCTTCTTTTTTTGGTGTGGAGGTTCAAGAAAATCCACATCAATCAGAGGATGTAATTAAAAACAGACCCAACTCCTCCATTCAATTCAAAGTTGTAATTAAAAAGAGACCCAACTCCTCCATTCAATTCAAAGTTGACTGGAAGACATTAAAAGATCAGTACTGGATTAATGTTAGATGAGCTGAGATTAGTGCCGTGACTCAAAGGCACACACATAAACCAGATTCTGAACACTGTGTAAATGCTGCAGATGATATTGAAGTCGCCATCATCGATCCATCTCCATCCACGGGGGCAGTGGGCATGCAGAGGAAAAAAGCAGCTAAGAACGCAATCCCCACAGCAATTTTTTAGAGCAGTTGATTTGTGTGCAGTCATTATCTTCAAAAAGAGAACATGCACGTCAAGTATATACCCTTCACGAGGGAATCGGTCAGTCTTCAGTTTGGACCACACCACTTCATTATTTCTCTTGTTTTTGTCTATTATATGTGTGTATACATACATGTATGTATGTGACCTCTTCCCATGCCATATAGTCCAAAATAAACGCGTTGCTACCTCTTTTACCTTCTCACTCCTTGTTTGAACTCCATCATTTTCTTTTTCTCTTGCATTCAACGGATGCAATCGATCCATTATTTTTGTTTTTATTTCTCCTTAATTCTTTTTTCAAGTTCGTACAAGCAAGTTCTTTCCCCGTATAAATCCACTTAAATTCATGATTGATACTGTGGGTCAAACTAGAAGCGAGTAAAATTTTAAAAAAATATATTTAAAATTAATTTTTTTATGTTTTTAGATAGTTTTGATATATTTATATAAAAAATATTTTAATATATTTTTAATTAAAAAATATATTAAAAAGCAATTAATACAACTCCCTTAAACATACAATAAAAATCATCTAAAAGGGATGGAGATATTAACATAAACAAATATGTTTTTTTAATTATTTTATTTGTTTTTTGAATGCCTGTCTTCTTCAAAAAAAAAAGAAGAGAAGAGAAGTTCCACTACACTATACATTCCATGTGTCGATGATGATTATCTATAATTGTTAATATGATATTCACTACAGGGTTGTTATTTTTAGAATTCATGGAATTAATTAGAATATACACAAATTAGTCCATATATTTATGTTAATAAAAAAAAACTATGTATCTCCATTGATATTATTGAAAAATCTAAATATACATTATTATTGTTATTATTCATACTATAAAGCTTAGTGGAATCCAATTTCGATGTGAACAAGCCATTTTGTTTCATAATCGTTGAGGAATACCAAATTAAAAACTTTGATGCTGAATCATCCAATAAAACATTTTGGACAACCATGCAGTATTGCAGATTGGATTCATAGCTAATAACAAACTTTGATGCTGAATCATCCAATAAAACATTTTGGACAACCATGCAGTATTGCAGATTGGATTCATAGCTAATAGACATTTTGGACATGTCTTGAATAATTGTTGAGATATTTCTCAGCCAGCTATACATGGATAATGTATAGCATATCCCTTAATTCTATCTCGAGCCACACAAATATTAAAAATCCATTTTCTTCATTAATTCCTGTAATTAAAATCAATTAATTCTGAAATATAAAAAACTCCTCAATCATATATATATATATATATATATAAAGTGTCTTCTAATTTTAGTATAAATTTGAAGAAAAAAAACTATTTTCTTCATGGGGAATTATTGTATATCAATAAAAAAATTCAATCTACCTTTAAAAAAACATGAATAATCATTATGGTTCTTTATATCCATATATTGAAAGGATAAATCTTTAATAATCTTAAATCAATGATTGGCTCCTTTTTTTGTTAACAAATAAATAAAGAAAATGATGGGTTTTTTTAGTTTTTATAAAAAAAAATCTGATTTAAATTATCCTAAATTGAAATCATGAAAGGATAAATCTTTAATAATCTTAAATTAATGATGAGTTTTTTTTAACAAATAAATAAAGAAAATGCTCCAATTTGCATAATTTAGTTTTTACAAAGAATAAATATGGTTTAAATTATCTTAAATTTGATTGGTTGGGACTTTTGGATTCCTTCACTTCCCTTCCCTTTGATTTTATTTGCTTCCCGAACATCAACATTATTATTTTTTTCTTTTTTTTTTCCCTTTTTCAACTTTAGATAAAAAGCTATAAGACTTTTACACGAAAACAACGTTGAGCTACGTGGCTCCCCAAAACGAAGACCTTGAAAGATTCTGCTGTGGCTTCTGTAGTTCATCGCGTGACTGCATTTCCAAACACGTGTCGGGTAATTATAGGTTTGTCTTATTCGAGATCTTTCTCTACTTGACGC